ATCATCCTCATCAGCAGCAGCATCAGCATCATCACCACCACTACCATCATCATCATCATCATCATCATCATCATCATCATCATCAGCATCATCATCAGCATCATCATCAGTATCAGCAGAATCAGAACCATCTTCATCGTAATCATCACTCTCATCGTCCCCATCAGCATCATCATCATCGTCAGCATCCGCATCAGCAGCAGCAGCATCATAATCGTCATCATCACCATCAGCATCGTCATCAGACATCATCAGCATCATCAGCATCATCATCATCACCCTCATCAGCATCATCATCATCATCATCATCATCATCATCATCATCATCAGCATCATCATCATCCGCATCATCATCAGCATCAACAGCAGAATCATCAGCATCATCAGCAGCATCAGCATCATCATCGTCCTCAGCAGCAGCAGCAACAGCAAAAGCAGCATCATCATAATCAGCATCATCAACATCATCATCATCATCATCATCAGCATCATCATCATCATCATCATCATCATCATCATCATCATCATCATCATCATCATCATCATCATCATCATCATCATCATCATCATCATCATCATCATCATCATCATCATCCGCATCATCATCAGCATCAGCAGCAGCATCATCAGCATCATCACCATCGTCCTCAGCAGCAGCAGCAAAAGCAGCATCATCAGAATCAGCATCATAGAGCCATCATTATCAACATAATCACCATCATCAGCATCATCATCATCATTAGCAGTATCACCATCGTCATCAGCAGCATCATCAGTATCATCATCAACAGCAGCAGCATCTGCAGCACCAGCAGCAGCATCATCATCAGCATCAGCAGCATCAGCATCATCATCATCAGATCGATTACCACCACCACCACCACCACCACCATCACAATAATCCTCAGCAGCATCATCATCAGTATCATCATCATCAGCAGCATCATCATCTGTACCATCATCATCACCACCATCATCATCAGCATCATCATCATCATCATTATCATCATCAGCAGCACCATCAGCATCATCAGCAATATCATGAGCAGCAGCATCATCATCAGCAGCATCATCAGCAGCAGCATTACAATGATCATCACCAGCATCATCAGCATCATCATTATCAGATTCATCAGCATCAGCAGCATCACCACCATCACCACAAAAATAAGCATCATCAACAGCATCATCAGCATCGTCATCGTCGGCATCAGCATCAGCATCAGCATCATCAGCAGCAGCAGCAGCATGATCATCAGCATCATCATCACCACCACCATCATCAGCAGCATCAGCATCACCAGCATCATCATCATCATCATCATCATCATCATCATCATCATCATCATCATCATCACCATCATCATCATCCCCTCCTCCTCATCCTCATCCTCCTCCTCATCATCCTCCTCCTCCTCCTCCTCCTCCTCCTCCCTTCCTCCCTCCCTCCCTCCCTCCCTCCCTCCCTCCCTCCCTTCCCCCTCCCTCCCTCCCTCCCATCCTTCTCCCCCAGCCCTCCCTCCCGTCCTCCTCATTCCCTCCCTCCTGCACCCCCGACGCCCCGCTCGGGGCTGGACCCGCCCATCTGCGCCATCTGGGCTGCGTAGGCGGCCTGGTACTGGGCCATTTGCGCGTACTCGGCAAGAGGGAGGGGGGGAGAGCGGGTTCCGCGCGGAGGGGGGGGGAGGGGAAGGGAGGGGAGGGCAGGGGAGGGGAGGGCAGGGGAGATGCACGAGGGGAGGGGGAGAAGGGAGGGGAGATGAGCTCCGCGGCTCCGCGCGGATCGGGAGAGGAGGGGAGGAGAGGGGAGGAGAGGGGAGGGGGAGAGGAGGGAGGAGGGAAGGAGAGGGGAGGAGGGGAGGGGAGGGGAGGGGAGGGGAGGGCGTGGAGGGGAGGGGAGGGGAGGGGAAGAGGGGAGAGAAGGGAAGGGATAGTAGGGGAGGGAACACAGGAGGGGGGGGACAAGAGGGGACGGGAAAGAGAAGGGGGGTGGAGAGGGGAGAGCGAGCGTGCGAGCAAGCGAGCAAGCGAGCCACCACTGCAGAGCATCCCCTGGACCTGTCGAAGGCTAGGCAGCCCAGGCCGTGGTCCCTGTATACTGCGCCAAGAAAACATGCACCGTACCCTTTCATATGCACCGTACCCTTTCCTGGGTCGAGGATCGACGACGCCACGGGAGACGCCGACGCGGTTCGATGCACACACGTCGTCCGCAGATTTCCACCAACAACACTTCTATTGCTGACTGCCCGAGGTGGAAACCAAGCAAGCGGCACTGAGACACTACGGATTGAGCACCCAAAATCATTGGCCCTGGCCAACTGGACGTCACCCCAACCGTGTTTGTACCGGCATCGGTACGCGGCCCCCGATGGCAAATCCGCACGCTCCTGGGCACGGTGGGCCATCGGGGGGCCCAGGTCGGCGATGAATCGGCGATTGAGGATCGATGCTTGCCCCCCCCCTGAGCCCATCCCCCAGGCCTGGCGTTGCCTCTGACTCCAGGCCCCCGTCACCGTGGCTTGTGTCCCAACCGGCGCGGACCCTCCAGAGACCTCGAACCCTCCCCTGGGACTGGGGAACCAACAGGTACCGATACCGCCACTCCCCAGACCTCTCCCAGGTGCGTTCTGACCAGAAGTTCGAGAAGAATCCAGCCGTGGCGACGAGAGCTCTCCAGGACCTTTTCCTCATACGAAGGGTCAATCTCTCGTCCCTGGTCGTGTCTGGGCGAGGCAAGCGTGGAGCGATCTCTTCGCTTTGCCTCACCTGGCCTCCTCCCGTTATTTCTTCCTTGTCGCCCTTTTTGAGTTCGGGGCGGCTGCTGGCGAAAGTGGTAATTATTCGCGCCAACCAGCGCCCCTCTGCTTGCGAGAACAGCGTGACGCTTCATCCGACGTTCGACGACGACGACGACGACGACGACGACGACGACGACGACGACGGTCGTGCCCGGGATGGGTCGGCTACACGCAAGAGCAACCATGGGCAAGAGTGACCTTTGGTGCGCAACTTCCAGGCGCCGTGGGGCGGAGGCCACATCCGGGCGCGCAAGTATCGCTTTCAGCCAGCTGGGGGCCCCAGCGTGCCCGCACCCAAGGCCACCCCGGCGGAAGGTCACTCCTACCCTCAGATCTGGGCGTTGCATTTTTTTACGCCGGGCGTTTTCGCCCAATTCCAGGTCCAGGGACCCTCGCAGATCAATCTAACTCGCGAACTGACACAAAGAGGTGAGGATGCTGCATATGATGTTTGGCGATGTTGAAACAAGTGGCACGCGTGCCATGGCTCTTGCACTGAAGGGAAGGGGAAGGAGGAGGAGGTGAAGGAGGAGGACGGGAGAGGGATATTGGGTGCGAGAATTCGGATAAGGAGAGCCCAACGAGGGCCGCAAGATGGGCTTGACAGGGCGAGCTCGCGTAGGCTCCACGGCACCCCCCCCGCGAGATGGCCTCCAAGACTTTCAACATGCTCCCAGGAGGCCTCCAACAAACACCCAAAAAGTCAGCAGAAGATCCGAAGAACTCCCCGGGGGCCCGAAACGGAGGCGGAGGGGGCACGCGGCGGGCGGGGGTTCCACGGGGCCGCTGGGGAACGCTGGGGAATGGGGGGATGGGGGGCGGGGACGGTGCGCGCCGTGCGACGCGAAATAAAATGGTCGGGGCGGAGGAGAGCACTGGGCGGAAGTTCCACTGGGCCGCTGGGGAACGCTGAAGAGAGAAGGGATGGGGGGCGGGGAGGAGGGGCGCGTGGTTCCGACTGTTTCGAACGCCCTTTCACATACTATCGGTGCGGAGTGTAGGCATCATGGAGGCGGCTCCAATGGGCCGCAGTGGCGAACGCTGGGGCGGGGGGGGGGTCGGCAGGGAAGGGTGGAGGTGCGGGGGGGCGGGGCGCGAAGTGACGTGGAATGGCACGGTCGGGGTGGAGGGGCGGGGGCGTTGGGCGGAGGTTCCACTGGGCCGCTGAACGCTAGGGTGGGGGCGTGGGAAGGGAGGGGCGGGGAATGAGGGGAAAGGTGCGGCGGAACGCTGAGAAGGGGTGAGATAGCGGAGGGGGGGGGCGGCGGGGAGGGCGGGGGCGCGGTGCGACGCGGAATAAAATAGTCGGGGCGGAACAAGCACTGGACAGATGTTCCACTGCGCCGCTGGGGAACGCCGGGAAGGGGTAGGGGGGGCGGGGGCGGGTCGGGGCGCGGTGCAACGCGGAATAAAATGGTCGGGGCGGAGGGGGCGCTGGGCGGAAGTTCCACTGGGCCGCTGGGGGACGCCGGGGAGGGGCAGGAGGGGGGCGGTGAGGGGGGGGCGAGGTGCGACGCGGAAAAAAAAAAATGTCGGGGCGGAGGGGCACTGGGCGAAGGTTTCACTGGGGTAGGGGTGGCGGGGAGGAGGGGGCGCGCGGTGCGACGCGGAATAAAATGGTGGGGGCGGAGGGGGCATTGGGCGGAGGTCCCATTGGGCCGCTGGGGAACGCTGGGGAGGGGTAGGAGAGACTCGGGGAAATGAGGGTGCGGTGCGACGCGGAATAGAGTGGTCGGGGCTCTAGACACCCTGTGCAAGAAAATAGAGCGTTCGTGGCGGAGGGGGAATGGGCGGGGCTCCTACCGGGGCGCTGGGGACGCAGGGGGGCTCGGGGCAGAGGGCCGCGGAGCGGGGGTCCCACTGGCGCTGGAGACGCGGGGGGCGGGGCGGCGGGAGATGGGTGTGCGACGCGGAATAAAGCGTTCGTGGCACGAAGTTCGTGGCGGAGGGCGCAATGGGCGGGGCTCCCACTGGGGCGCTGGGGCCGGAGCTCTAGACACCCTGCGCAAGAAAATTAATTTGCAATGTCGAATCTCAGGGGATGTGTGGCCGAAAAGGGCCCCTGGGGGCTGGGGATGGCCAAGAGCCTCCCGGTGGTGACTTCTGCCCCTCCTGGGTCGCCCTGGTCGGCCCCGCCGCTCGGGTCCCCGAGCACCCCCCCCCCTCGCGCGCGCGTGCCCGCGCCAGCTGCCGCGGCTCCTGCAGGTACTGCATCTGGGCCATCTGGGCCATCTGCGCGGCCTCGCGGCGGGCAGCATTCAGCAAGCATCGTATTCTTCTTAGTACTAATTTCATTAGTACGATTCGCCTTATTAATGTTACTATTCTTCTTAGTCTTATTAGTATTATTATTGTTGTTATTATTATTGTTGTTGTTATTATCATCATCTCTGATTAGTATTGGTATCACTAGTAATATTATTATCATCATCATCATCATCATCATCATCATCAGCAGCATCATCATTATTAGTATTGACAGTATTAGTATTGTTATTACTGTTAGTGCTATTTCTATTACTATTATTAGTATTATTAGTATTCGTATTAGTATGTGTATTAGTAGTATTATTCTTCTGATTCTTACTCACGTATTATTCTTAGTACTATTATTATTCATGTGGTTCTTCTTCTTCTAATAAAAGTTATAATTATTGTTATTATTATTATTATTACGATGCGCATTCGCATTCATGGTACTATTCTTGTGTTTCGTATTACTATGTTTCATAGTAATGTTATGCTTATTAGTGTTGCTATTACTTTTTGTCCATGTTCGTCGTCTTCGTCTGCTTATTATTCGTAATAGTAATACTAGTATCATCCGTGTTATTACTATGACTATGACTTGTCTTCCTCTTCATCATCATCACCATCATCACCACCATCCTTAGAATCATCCTAGTCATCATCATAATCGTCGTCATCATCATCAGTAGCAGCAGCATCATACTCATCGTCATCATCATCAGAATCAGCATCATCATCATCATCATCATCATCATCATCATCATCATCATCAACTTCCTCCTCCTCCTCCTCCTCCTACTCCTCCTCCTCCTCTTATCCTTTTCCTCCTCCTCCTCGTCCTCCTCCTTCTCAGCAGCAGCAGTAAGAGCATCATCACCAGGATCATCATCATCATCATGGTCGTCGTCGTCGTCATTATCATCAGCATCATCATCACCATCATCAGAATCATCATCAGCAGCATCATCGTCATCAGCAGCAGCATCATCGTCATCATCATGAACATCATCATCATCATCAGCATCAGCATCAGCATCAGCATCAGCATCGTCATCATCAGCATCGTCATCGTCATCGTCATCGTCATCGTCATCGTCATCGTCGTCATCGTCACCGTCATCGTCAGCAGCAGCATCATCATCATCGTCGTCGGCATCGTCGCCATCTTCCTCAGCATCATCATCCTCATCCTCATCCTCATCATCATCATCATCATCATCAGAATCATCATCATCATCAGCATCATCATCATACTCATCATCACCACCGTCATAATAATCATCATCATCGTAATCATCATCATCATCATCGTCATCATCATCGTAATCGTAATCGTAATCGCCATCGTTATCGTTATCGCCATCATCATCATCATCATCATCATCATCATCATCATCATCATCATCATCATCGTCGTCGTCGTCGTCGTCGTCGTCGTCGTCGTCGTCGTCGTCGTCGTCGTCGTCGTCATCGTCGTCTGGGCCACTTGCGCGGCCTCGCGGCGGCCGCGGGGGGGCGCCACGCGCACGGGCAGAGCGGGCGGGCCCTTTCCCCCTCGATCGCTGGCCCCTCCTCCCAAAAGAGGAGGAGCGACCACGGGCACGCTGGCCCACCAAAGCACAGAGGACCCACCGCAGACATCCGATGCCACCCCTCCAACAGAGAACAGAGAACCCACCGCAGACATCCGACGCCATGCCTCTGCTCCCGACGTGGGCCCTCGGAGCCCTCGGCTCCACCACGACGACCGGCTATTCACCCTGGGCCGTTCTTCCACGGCCCCATCGCCCGCCGCGGGCCTCTGGACGCCAAAAAGCTGGGAGAAGCTGGCGCGGCCTCTCGAGCGGGCTTTGCCCGCGGCGCCTGGCGGAACCCGGGACGCCCCGCCCGTCGGAGCCAGGCGAGGCGCGACGGGCAGTCGGCGGCAAGCGCGGGCCAGGCACCAGAGGTCACAACCAGGCAACTCCTCCTCCTCCTCCTCCTCCTCCTCCTCCTCCTCGTCCTCCTCCTCCTCCTCCTCCTCCTCCTCCTCCTCCTCCTCCTCCTCCTCTTCCTCGTCCTACTCGTACTCGTCCTCCTCCTCCTCCTCCTCCTCCTCTTCCTCCTCCTCCTCAATTCCTTCTCCTTATAGATAACTCCTCCCTGTCGCACCCCGAAGCCACTTTACGGCGGGCCGGGCGTTTCGCATGAGACTTCCTTACCATTGATGACTCTGAATCTGGAAGAATTACACCAGTTTCAGAGATGGATGGCGGATCGTTTTCAAAATGTGGCTCTCGCCTTAGCGCCGCGCACATTCGTTTTAAGAAATTGCAAGAGCTCCACGGATTGAGGGCGGGTGGTTTTCAAAATGTGGCTCTCGCCCTGGCGCCACGCACACTCGTTTTTAAAGTTGCAAGAGCTTCACGGATTGAGGGCGGGTCGTTTTCCAAATGTGGCTCTCGCCTTAGCGCCGCGCACATTCGATGTTTTAGATTTGCAAAAGAGCTTCACGGATTGAGGGCGGGTGGTTTTCAAAATGTGGCTCTCGCCCTAGCGCCGCGCACATTCGTCATAAAAACTTGCAAGAGATCCACGGATTGAGGGCGGGCGGTTTTCAAAATGTGGCTCTCGCCCTAGCACCGCGCACAATCGTCTTTCAAAAAATGCAAACGGATTGAGGGCGGCTCCTTTTCAAAATGTTGCTCTCGCCTTAGTGCCGCGCACATTCGTGTGTTTGAATGTGCAACAGTTTCACGGATTCCCATGATCAACGTACCGGAAACTGTGTTTTGGAAGGATTCAGGATGATACGAGCGCAACAGTTCTGTTGATTCGCTGTGTTGAAATCCCAAACATGGTGTTCTGACACGATCCTGGATAGTCAAGACGAAACAGTCAGGTTGATACGTGGCGTTGAAATCCCGAGAACAATGTTTTGGTACGCTTCAGAATCTTCAAACTGTTGTCTTCCAAAGAGGCAATTCCCTCAATGGACATGAACCGTTGTAGGGGCCTACAAAGAGGGAGCTTGGAGGGAAGGTTAATTCCAACATCGTGGATGACTCTCGGGTTTCCACTGGTCCTCCTCCTCCTCCTCCTCGTCCTCCTCCTCCTTCTCGTCCTCCTCCTCTGCGAATCAAGTGTCTGAGAGACTGGCTGGGGCTCAGAGCTTTAAGGATGTCTGCAGCTGAGCAAGCCCTAGCGGGGGTTATGCAACACACCAGCGCCGAGTGGACCCGCAGGGGAAGGTTTCGATAGCGGTCGGCGAACAGCACGGCAGGGCGGGCGGGGGCCTGGTACGCCTGCGCCTGCGGGTAGTACGCGGCGTAGGGGTCGACAGCCGCGAAGCCGCCCGGGGGGCCCTTGCCGTCCTGGTGCGAATGGCCCGGGGTGATTGAGACAACACGTTGGATAATTTTGAATCGGATTTGCACCGAGAGGCGCGGATGGCCGTCTATAGCTGCACTGGCGTCTAGAAGGCTCCCGCAGAGTTGGCCGTCGGAGAACTACATGGAACGATATGGACCATTTTTTCTGGGATCGCTTCAACACCAGCTTGGAGCGTGCGTTGAACAGTGTTCACGGCAGATGTTCGGATGTGTTTCAGGCTGACTGTTTGTCATGCACGCGCACATTAGTGTAGCAATACACATGAGGGGTGTGTTGGATATTTGCTGTCATTAGATGTGTGTGTGTGTTTCCTTCTTGCTGTATGAATCACGCCGTTCCCGCGAGACGTCCTAGGGCGTTCGATCGTACTTTCGCTGCCGCTTCCACACACACACACACACACACATACACACACACACACACACACACACACCGCAGCAGCTGCCCTGCGGCGGCGGCCGCGCCACGGCGCCTGCCGAGCGGCAGGCGCGGGAGGCGGAGGTTGATGGAAGCGCCAGGGGCGTGCAAAAACAGTCGAATGTCCCCGTCCCCCCCCTATGCCGCGGGGGCGGTCAGACTAATAAGCATGTCCAGAATCCATCACCGCCTGGCGGCTCTGACCCTTCTCTGGCGTGGCTGGGCTGGTTGGGCTGGCTGGGATTGCTGTGCTGGCTGAGTTCGAGCCCGCTGGGCTGGCTGGGACGGTTGGGGCCGCTGGGCTGGCTCGGCTCGGGGACAGACCGCTCGGCTGGTCCTGGGCCCCCCTTGGCCCTTGAGACGCGTACCCGACCGCGGTCCTTGCCCTTGACCTTGCCCTTGCCTTTGTCCTTGCCGTCCTTGCCCTTGCCCTTGCCGTCCTTGCCCTTGCCGTCCTTGCCTCTGTCCTTGCCCTTGTCCTTGCCCTTGCCCTCCTTGGCCTTCGGCTCGACGAGCTCGACCAGGAGCTCCTTGTCTGGCAGGGGCCGCCCTTCTGCTCCATTCTCCTGCTCCGACCCCGACCCCTCTACTAGACAAGCGCGTTCCACGATTCGCAAAATAACTACTCGCAAATGGCGTGGATCTGCCGCGGGTGATCTACGATCCATTGCATCGAAGCAAACATGTGTGTTTCCGGACGTATGCGACTAGGCACTTTGCGAGTAGTGGAACGCGCTCGATGATCCACATGTCTTCCAGGACTGGCACTCATCCAGCTTCTCAGTTTCCTCCTCGTCGTTCCCACTCTCGCTGCCGCTTTCTCCTTTTCCGCATCATCATCATCATCATCATCATCATCATCATCATCATCATCATCATCATCATCATCATCATCATCATCATCATCATCATCATCATCATCATCATCATCATCATCATCATTCGATGTCCCATCCGCCTCCTCATGTTACTTCTGTCCTCGTTACGTATTAGCATACATTCCCTCTCAGCAACCCTAGGCGGGAATCCATCCGACCCAGCAAAAGCAATACACGTCGACGCTTGTCCTGCCAACATGAACAGATTCTCGTTGGCCTTGCAACACGCGCCACACATCGCACGCGACATGCCGAAGTGCCGCTCCCGGCACGGCGCCGCGCTTGCTTGTTCTGAGAACTGCGTTCCCAAATGGGCGCGGCGCATTTTGTTTCGCTCGCCACCTCGTCGGGCGCAGGGCCGCGAGCGCGCGCGGGCGAAATGTCGTTCACTGCAAGGCCTTCTGCGCGCGCCAGGCCCTGAAGCAGGGAGGCATCCCGTCGTTCCTGGCAGAGCTCGGAAACCCCAGGTCAAGCACGACCTGCTGAAGCAATGCGTCAATGCTGAAAGGATGACCTACCTGGCTCGCACCACCCCGGCAGCGGTGCTGCGGGACGCCGCCCGTTACGACGAGGACGTGGTGGACGCTGCCGCCGCGACGGTAGGCCAGCGCTGGACAGCAGGCCGCCTTCGCGATTTCCGCGGCTGGGCTAAAGACGAAACGATGGAGATGGACGCCGCGTGCATGGCGTCGCGGGCGGCCACTTACAAGCTTTACATGCGCATCCGGCCTGGGCACCAGTGGGATGACGACGCGCCGGCAGGCCCCTGGCGGACGCCACGGCCAGGTTGGCAGCCGCCTTGGGCCGCGACGCCCTCGGGGTGGCGACCTGGGCTGGCTTGACCCAGGCCTTCCTCGAAGGTCAGATGCGGCGCAAAGCGGTCGAAGCATGGCGCGAAAAGAGTCAGCCTGCAGACGGGGCTCGCTTGAACGCACACTCCACGTCTGACACCGCCAGCCTCCTGGAACTTCTGGGCATCGCTTCTCAGAGGCCACCCACCTCGCAAAATCCGTCCCGGGACCATCTCACCAAGTCTGACACCGCCAGCCTCCTGGAGCCTCTGAATTTTAAGGGGCCACCCACTCCCCAGCCGCCTCGGGACCCCCCCACCACGTCTGACAGCGCCAGCCTCCTGGAGCCTCTGAGCACTCGTTTTCAAGGGCCACCCACTCCGCAAAATCCGTCCCGGGACCTCCCCACCACGTCTGACACCGCCAGCCTCCTGGAGCCTCTGAGCACTGGTTTTCAAGGGCCACCCACTCCGCAAAATCCGTCCCGGGACCCCCCCACCACCTCTGACACCGCCAATCGAGCTTCTGAGCCCTGGTTTTCAAGGGCCACCCACTCCGCTAAATTCGTCCCTGGACCTCCCCACCACGTCTGACACCGCCAGCCTCCTGGAGCCTCTGAGCACGGTTTTCAAGGGCCACCCACTCCGCAAAATCCGTCCCGGGACCCCCCCACCACGTTTGACACCGCCAATCGAGCTTCTGAGCCCTGGTTTTCAAGGGCCACCCACTCCGCAAAATCCGTCCCGGGAACCCCCACCACGTCTGACACCGCCAACCTCCTGGAGCCTCTGAGCACTGGTTTTCAGGGGCCACCCACCCCGCAAAATCCGTGCGGGACCCCCCCACCACGTCTGACACCGCCAACCTCCTGGAGCCTCTGTGCACTGGCTTTCAGGGGCCACCCACTCTGCAAAATCCGTCCTGGGACCCCCCCACCACGTCTAACACCGCCAACCTCCTGGAGCCTCTGAGCACTGGTTTTCAAGGACCACCCACTCCGCAAAATCCGTCCCGCGACACTCCCACCACGTCTGACACCGCCAGCCTCGTAGAACTTCTGGGCATCGCGTCTCAGAGGCCATCCACCTCACAAAATCCGTCCCGGGACCATCCCACCACGTCTGACAGCGCCAGCCTCCTGGAGCTTTCAGGGGCCACCCACACCGCAAAATCCGTCCCGGGACCCCCCCACCACGTCTGACACCGCCAGCCTCCTGGAGCCTCTGAGCACTCCTTCTCAGGGACCACCCACCCTGCAAAAAACGTTGCGGGACCTCCCCACCATGTCTGACACCGCCAGCCTCCTGGAGCCTCTGAGCACTAGTTTTCAGGGGCAACTCACTCCGCAAAATCCGTCCCAGGACACCCCCCACCACATCTAACACCGCCAACCTGCTGGAGCCAGCCTCTGAGCACTGGCTTTCAGCGACCACCCACTCCGCAAAATCCGTTTAGGGACCCCCCACCACATCTGACACCGCCAGCCTCCTGGAGCCTCTGAGCACTCGTTTTCAGGGGCCACCCACTCCGCAGAATCCGTCCCGGGACCCCCCCACCACGTCTGACACCGCCAACCTCCTGGAGCCTCTGAGCACTGGTTTTCAGGGGCCACCCACTCCGCACAACCCGTCCCGGGACTCCTAGGGCCTCTGGACATACTCAGAAGCCACCCACCCCGCAAGATCCGTCCTGGGACCCCCCCACCACGTTTGACACCGCCAGCCTCCTGGAGCCTCTGAGTACTGGTTTTCAGACGCCGAACACCCAGCAAGATCCGACCCAGGACCATCCCACCACGTCTGACACCGCCAGCCTCCTGGAGCCTCTGGGCACTGGCTTTCCGTTTTTTATGTTCGGCGATGACGGGCGTCATGGGGGGGGGGCGAAGGGGGGGGTTAGACGTAACGCCCCCCCCGCCGTGTGGCTCCGGTACCGCAGCCGCGCTCGCGCGCGCGACGCGACGAGCGACGAGCGACGACGACGACGACGAC